CAATGGGCAGACTGGAATATTTTTTGCTAGCCATCCGTCCACAGGTGTAATCAAACGCTTAAAAAGATATCATTTACTAGTAAATCAATGCAGTTTTTGCAAAACATCATATCGTAGGCAGCAATATGCAGATTGACCATCAGGCTAAATATCACGACTACTGGCAAAGACAAACAATCCAATTTTAAGTTGGACATGTAGCTTTGACCATCGCAAAATATTTCTAGAAGTGAACTCCATTTTACAAGTCGTCTGCTTTGAAGTTCACTTACTAAACATGTGCTAGTAGACGATGTGTAAGCCTATTTTTGTAACGCTAATGTAAACCGGTTGATTTGCGTTTGACAGATACATTCTCCCTCAGGAATTATCAGAATTTTAGACGGAAGGGATTGCAGTGCTGAAATCATACAAATTTTCGAGATGACTAAGCACGCGGTATCTCGCTCATTCCGAGGTTCTTCAAACACGATGATTATTGTCCTCTCAATACCAAGTCCACAGGGGTCTTTATTCAGCGCGTCGTTTTCCTTCGGTAAGTTCCCGTATCTAATCGAATTATTCTATTTTTCCGATACAGGAATTTATTTCAATCTTACCTAGCGATTAATGGTACGTTTCGTTATTTTGTTGCCTATTCTATGGCGGCATAGCATCAGCAGTCATGAGTAGTTGGAGTTTGAAACAAAGCTAATCCGCAGTGCATTGCAAGTAAATGGATAAACTGTTAAGTACAGTACGAAGCCTTCGACGTCATTCATTCCATGCAATGTTCGATACATGCTGAACAGAATATTCCTAAATGCACTAATAAATATCTTGTTTTCGAACTGCTAAAGAGACATATTTTGAACTCTAGAACTTAAGATTTATGAACAACCAAACGATTTACCTACCGCCGGTTGTTCATTGCTCAAGGGGCATTCTTTCTGTCTAGTTCAAATCATTTAATGGGTATCAATCCACCTAAATATTTAGTGCAAAATAAGGTAGAAGTAAAATAAGAACCATACCCAAACTGATTGCTGAAAACTGCATTGTGTTGTTACGGAAGGAAAACTAACTAGCATTAGTAGTTCTATTCTGAAGTGTTTGAACAGAACGGGACATATGAATAAGAAATGGTTGCTTTCATTAGGAGCAGAACTCGAAAATAGAGGACAGCTTGCAACGCAAGCGTGACGAGTGCACAGACACATTTCAGATACTTAGAACAACTATCTAAACCAACGTAACAACCGCACACAACAGCCAAAAAAATACAAATCCGCATATCGGCTGAACATTGCAAAGTCTTCTGTGCTAACCACAAACTGCTGTACTATCATGTCAATAGCCTACGAAAGTTGTGGCATGAATTTACTCCACTGAAGATTGTTGTTGGCCCAACAAGAAAGACTGTGGAAGCAGCAAACGCGCTGCGAATGCAATTTGCTCCCACGTTTCAGAGGGTCATGCAACCAAGCGACCTTTTGAGTTTTGCCTTTTCTTTGCCAAAACTAAGCCACACCACTTTTACCGTGGAGACTGGATTGCAAAAGCTGACGTTTCTACGCAAACACACCTCGCCGGGTGTCGAGGCCATTCGTCAGGGGGCAAACCAACTAGCAGGAGGTTTAGCGCAGCTTTTCGGCGCTGCTTAGGCCAGGATCAAGTTCCAGCTATGTGGAGTTTTGAAATACAAACGGATTCACAAAGATGGCGGCAGAAATGACCCCTCAATCTACCGCCTAGTATCCATTCTTACTATATTTTCCCAGGTCATGGTATCCATAGTTGCCGATGCCCAAATCTGCTGTCTGGAAAACCGTAACAACATCCATCGACAGTGGTCATGCACAATGGAGTTACTAATCGCACGCGGTAGTTGGACTTCGGCTGCTGACGCTGGAGGTGTTGATGTAATCTACCTGGATTTCCCCAGGGCTTTCGATGGTCTAGACCATCGGATACTAATCTTCAAGCTCCAACATTACGGGATCAGCGACCCTATTTTCAGCTGGATTGCCAATTTTCTACTTAAATGGCTACTATTAGACAGAGTTAGGAAATGTGTACTGGACCACATACAAGTCGAGTGTGGTGTGCCGCATGGCTCTGTTCTAGGTCCACTTTTGTTTTTGGTATTTATTAATGACCTTTCATAGGGAACCGCTTCAAACCTCCTAATGTTTGCCGACGACATCCAGATCTGGCGCAGGATCCAGGCGAATGCCGACCAACATGTGTTTCAGAGTGACCTAGATGCAGTGTATCGATGGGCAAACAAAAATTACTGCACTTCAACATCAATAAATGCAAGGGACTATCCATCCAACATCAGAGTATCTACCCATACCGGCTGGGAACGAATATATTGCAACAATTAGCTATCTAACGTGATTAGTTTTCCTGGTTCAAGCTGACTTGGGTTGCCCCAGGCAATCCAAAAAAGCCTCAAATACTGGAAATCAACACGTCGGACTGATGCGACGAGCGTCTGGACCAGTAAATAGCTCCATATTTCAAAAAATACTTAGTACACAGGTTCGCCCGCACGTCGAATATGCAATTAAAGCCTGGCTTGTAGGGCTGAAACATGACCTTAATGCACTCGGGAATCTAACAACGTAACTGAAATGAGCAATTTTTTATACAAGGAGAGGCTGAAACGATTGGGGTTGTTTAGTGGAAGCTACCGCAGACTACTATGCGACCTGGTTATTGCATACTTGATTCTACAAGACCCACATCATGTGTGTCTTCCGTTAATGCGACTCAACACCAATAAAAATCTGAGGGGCAACTCACAGAATCTCGCTGTACAGTATGGTCGCCTGTACTACCGCAGCAAATCCTTTTCCATTCGTGTCTGTAACCCGTGGAATTCTCTACCAGAGTCGGTCGTCTATGCATCGACACCAGCGGTATATAAAAGACGGTTGGATGATGCACTCATCTTGTTACACCTTATCACTTAGCACTGTCTCCATTCTACACCTGGATTTTCCTATGGAATTATTTGCTGTGAATTAAGGGTGCTTTAAATTTAGGCGGATATTAGGACTAAGGAGGAGCGAACGATAAGTCATTATTTTCATATTATATTACCAACTCTTTTATTATCCTTAATACCGCTATTGATATGTCGATATGCCCACTAACTATCCAACGGAACTTGTAAAGCAACTCTGCTTAACCCGTGTAAATTAATTTTTCATTTTCTTATTCTAATTTGATTATGATTCATTGGATAGTTAACGCTTCCAAACACATTTACTGTCATTCCCTGAAACTGCAGCACGCTGCCACCTTGCCAATCCATTAGTTAAAGTTATCCACACGGTATATTCCGTCACAATTATCATGGGATATGTTTTCTGCTGGTGCAGGCCAGTTATGACACACACTTCCAACTTTCGTTGCATCTTCCCTTATATTGTTTGTATTTTTAAGTTTTCTCAATGAGACACTCATGCATTTAGATTGTGTCCATGAAGGCTCTGCTGATGTAACATAAAAAATAATTTACTCATAAAAGCATCTTAATACACAAACCGATGTCGCCGATTTACACAACAGGGCGGTTCTGTGATTGCGTCCAGTATACAGGCGAAAGGTCTGTCAATGAACAGTAAAAATTAATGTGTGTCAAAATTAGTCGTCTGGTTCACCAGCATATTGATATCGGAGGGTGTACTCTGGGTCAGCCAATGTTTCTTTTCCAACATATTATATAGTGCGAACCCATTTAAGAACCAATATTTTGCCTGTAGCGTCTCTGAACTAAGATGCTGTCTGCCCTTATGGACAAGTTCTCAAAAGGCTAATGTTTATATTATTTTACCAAATATGAAGAATAACCCCAAAGACAGGTCCTCTTCATTATATGTCATATAATTTCACGCGACATAGGTTGGGGTGAAAGTAGATTGTGATATTGTCACCTTTCATCGATTTCCTTACATTAATTATTAACCAAGGTTTTATCTATAGAATCTAATAAGTTTTACTACTACAAAGGTTATGGGAAGGAGATATAGCCTTTTAGTTTGTCAGCGCAGCTTACAACTGTTGAAGACAAGCAGGATATAGCACTTTTCTAAGGGAGTTCTTGTATTGAAGATTAAGATGTTACCGTCTGATTAGACTTCTGCCAGCCTAAGCCTAGTAGAGTACGGATAAAAGTACAAGGCATCATAAATGGAACAATGGTTTATTGCTGTTAAAAAAGAATTGCTTAACAAGTACCTTGGGTTGTAAATTATTGAGAAAAGTGAATTGCATGATAAAGTGAAAAGCGTTTTGGTGGACTCACCATATATTTATGTAGAATAGTAAAGATGCTCGCGCTTCACTGCCAAACATTCACCATCCGCCGCACGTAGAATAAAGTGTCGTGAAGTTTTCTACGAAGGTTCGAATCCATGAATTCAGGATTACGAGGCATATCTGTGAACTTTAAATTCCCGGGATGTTGGTAGGTTACTAATAGTCGTTTGTGATTAAAAATTCTTTAAGTGGCATGTGAATTTGTCTGACTGATTAGTTACTCTCTGCTGCAGCCAACATGAATTTGTACGAACCTATTTGAATTGTAGCACAAAAGAGTAAATTTAATCATTCAAATAGATTAGTACATTTTACGGAAAATACTAAGCAGTTTACTTTGTGTTACACCAGATTCCACTAAAACACGAAATCTTTGAATCACGCACCAAACAAATATTAAAGCAGAGATTGGGTGGAACAGTTAGGCTGAATAATCTGTTAGTGACACAGTTTCCTAATGCTTTTACAAAAATCCTTGCAACCAGTAACGGTATTAGACAACATTTGCTTCTTGATTCTGAAAATAACTATTGTGCACACATAAATCTTGACAATTGTTTAAGCAACTTTCATCACAGCAATTTCACCAGCACATTTTTATAACCTACGCAGAAAAACAAAGCCATTGTCTACCATCGCATCCAAGAGAATCAGAAGGATCAGAAGGACTTCGTAATTATGGACCCTACATGTTTTGCAGCACCACATTATCCGCTCCTAACGCTCAAGGAATCCGTTTGGAGTTTGTGGATGTTGACGTGAGTGACGAAACTTATTATATTTCTGTAGCCTCCAGTTAGATCTCATTGACTAATGACAGTTTATTTAGGTGCATATTTTCAAAATAATCAGCTTTTGTGATAGATTGCTGCTGTTGGTGATGCATTCTATAGTACATTAGGATTCACATACCTTATAGCAGAAATTTATTTATGTCATTATGACAAACCTATCTTTTGCGATGGCGCACCAAAAACTAGCCAGCTGTAATTCCCGGCAAGAGCAATTCCATTAAATATCGAAGTAGACAGTGTAACAACTAGCTCTAGTTAAAGAAACCGGCACTGTTTTCAAGTGATTTTGCAAAAATTCATTAGAAAATATCAATTGCAGATAGAGTAGCCAGGTGTTAATTTACAGAAAAGCAATGAAAATTTGTAACATATCGATGTTTATTTAAAAGTAACAGACGTTTACGCACATGAATACGCTGCGCGTCATAATCAAAACCTGTTTTTACATATCCTGTACTATACTGTCAAGCATAATAATTGAACCACCTTGCAGATTGTTCAAAATAATGAAATATTAATTACTATGCAGTAAGAGATAGAGGCGATCTCGTGAGGTAGATATGCGAACAAATAAACAGTATCCGTTTTAAACAAATGTCGACCTTTCTGAGACAACAATAATAAACTTCAACGTTTCCACATATTGGTATGTCGAATTTGTTGCACTGTTTTTGTAATAAAATATTGACATATGTGTTTTCACGAATATATGGGTTTATCCGCATCATCATACACGTTAGCTAGAGATGAGGAAAGCCTCAGCTACTGTGCCACAATACACCGAAAAAGAAAAAGAATGCAACTGGTGAAAGCCGGCTGAGCTACCGGTAAGGGATAGGCATCGTTCTGGTAACCTACCAGACGACTACCCTGCATTAAAAAATTACGGTGCAAAATTATATAAAGCTAAATACCGAGATCGGAGTTGGAGTGGTAGGCTAAGATGGATGGGGGGGACAAAGAAACTCACAGCACGAACGTCACTGAGGTCGGCTCCTAGCCATAACAGCAAGTGTGTCCAACTAAACGTCTTCATCGTCTTTCCGGGCCGCAACCAGGGAGCCGAGACGCTCCAACCGAGGCCAGCTCAGAAGTGAGGGCCTTCATTCCTCTTGACCAAGTCATGGCTTGGCCACCCCTACTCTTCTTCCATCCACACCCCCGGCGCGCATACAACGCACGGCGCGGGAGTGGGTGGGCTTGCACGTGACCGAGCCATCGGAGCCTGGTGCGTGAAATAACGATGCTGAGCGGTTCATTTACTTTTGCTGTGCTGTAAACAAGGCTTGGAATACGCTCGTTGCTCACGCGCTTTTCCCAGTAGTATGTTCAGTTTCTTTAAAGAATAAATCGTTACTTTTGCCAAATTTGCCTTTGTAGTAACAAAGTAGAATGAAGCAACAAGGAAACTTATCAGCACAGTGACAAGAGAGCATGTAGGCCTTCTTGCTTCTTGCATCTGCGAAGTGACTTGACAGCATACTACCTAAGGAACAAGCCTTTCTTCCATGTCTTGGCCTACTAAACGGGACGAGTATTTGTCTTGGGGAAATACCCAAGTTCAGCAGCCAAAAAGGTCTGCTGATTGCGTTCACCAAAAACTGGGTTTTGTCGCTTTAATACTAAAGATCATATCTGAATATATAATAATCAGCGATGCTGGAATTCAAGTCTTGCCGATCACTAGTTAGCAAGAAATAAAAAGCGCGCCATATACCTCGCAGTGTCACAATAAATTCAGCCAAACGAAGAAGCTTCACTCTCTTAGATCATCTCTTGCTTATTCCTACGCTGAAGTCCTCATATTCAGCTTGATCGCGTAGTTAAAATATTCCATAAAGTAGTTGGCGGAAATCTCGTTGCGAATAAGGGCAAGTAAAATGTGAAACCAAACGATCTTATTGGAAAAGTGGTGTTTAACGTAGCTCCCAAATGACATTTACGCTTATGTGTGAAGCCAATTGGAGACAGGTATTTCCCTACCTAATAAAGATAAAGTGCCTTATAAGAGTGCTCATGCAGATATACATTCGCTAAACGCAGATCCTCTAAACGTTGTCATTTATGTACTGAAATGGCTTAGAAATTATGAGAAAACTGGTATCTTAAAGGAGGCATTGGTTTTAATACTACAAGAGTCTTGCTCACCAAGATAAGAACACGTAGTCTATGTTCGTTAGCTCATACTTCGGACTGTTTGGCGCGCATAGCAGCGCCAGCCTCCTTATGAGTGGAGGCAATGTGGTCTACCTTTTTGCTGTCACTGAGAAGACAAAAACGATTTACACTGATCTGGTTCAAGTCTGAGGTACAAATCTTGAGTACGCTAGTTCTACAAACTTTGAATATCAGAACAGTCGCGGTGGTGTCCTGTTTTGCGTCTGATCATCATCGGTCGGAACATTCCTGAGCAGCTACCAAAGTAACTGGGAAAATGTGAAACGAATGTGACGTTTGACCTTAAGTCGATGAGTTTCTAATATGTACATTCTATCGCAAAAATATTTACCAATCTTTTGGCTGGCTAGCACATTTTGAGAGTACAAAACTAGACGCTATTATTTCCCTTACATGATATAATCTGTGCTGAAAAATTCGGTTCTTAAATTCAACTTAATCGCTGACATTGGAAAGTTGAATCCCACTTCGCAGAAATCACCTAAACCAGGTAATGCAGTTCATCTGACAGTTAACTCGCATTCGGCAAGTGTAAGTTCATTGTAACTAACGTTTATCAACCAGGTGCATGCAACAGGTGAAGCATAGTTCCGATCATAGATGCCTAAACAAAAAATGACCACTTTGTACTGTTCGCGTGTACATAAATGTCCCTGTCCTAATCCAGTCGGCTACAGCCTATCTACTGCTGCTTGCAAGCTGAATTATTTGCCTAGTTTTTGGCGGAAAGAAGAAAACTTATACATAAATCTGAGCACTTTTTTAAAGCAAGTCTTTAGTTCGACATGTGGGGTGAATGTCAGTGATCGCTATGTTTGTGCGCATCAAGCATTTGAACGCACGACTACTTTGTCTGGTTTATTTAAAAGCTGGCTGATACATAGCGATTAAACTTTCCTAAGACTTCCTTCGTCTTTAGGCTGGTGATATATACCAATGCATAAGAAGCAACTGGTTGTGATAAGCTTTGATGTCTGAAATCTAGGCTGGCAGCCGCTACTAAATCTCCTAACCACTTGGCCACGACGTAAATGAAACCTCTCCAGGGACTTGCCATGTGAATCCAACAAACATCGCTGCCCCATTATTGATGGCAAACCAATGCTTTGGGGAGACTATTTGTTAGCATTTTGCTGCTATCAAGCATGACCAGAAATTAATACCTTCTATTGAATCAAAAACAAAGAAATGCGAGGTCAAGGATGAGTTTATCCGGACCGTCTGGTTACTTGATCAAGGCCCAAGTTACGCAAAAGGACACAAGAGATTACATGGGTCATTGTCAGTGATATGCACAAATTCTTCAGGGTCTGCAAGAAATTCCACAAAATTATGGCAAATTCCTAACGCAAACCGCTTAAAATTTACAAGCGCCATCCTAAGTGCCGTAGTTGAAACTTCACAACAACGACCTAATACGCTACGCATACATTTTGCTGATTTGTGATGAATTTCACCCATGAAGCCAGAGCTGCTCTGATATCTGTAGATGGTTTTCGGAATGCATTTTACAGATTGTAAGACGGCTGGTAATAATCCGTAGGGAGCAGTATCCTAGTTCCTATTGTAATCGAGTTTGAAGCATCTGATAAGCGTGAGGCAACAACAACTCCGACGTTAGATATTCAGAGGTGATGGTTAGAAAAGTATTAATTCAACTGATATTTGATATACAGGCTACATAGGTAGAAAGATATAAGAAAAAGGACAAATAAAATAATATTTACTTTGAGACGGATGTGAACTATGTTGTTAGAAAATCTTCATCCGCTTCGCAGAAGAAAACCTCTGGGCTTCTGATCAATACAGGGTCCACCAAGCAAGCACACTATCAGAGACATTTAGCCAAATCTCGTCCAGAAAAGTCTTCATATACTAACGCTCAATTAATCCTCGAAATTGGTGGTAACACGACATTCGTCGCAAAGGAAGAAAACAATTTGTGATAACGTAGGAAATTTTTGGATCAAAACGGGCCCATTGGTCACAAATCAAGTAACAATCAGCACCGTTTGCAAAAATAGAGACGAAGCGATTCCTCTTCACAATACTGGAGCGGTGAATGATTCTGTATTTAAAGGTATGCACAAGGCGATACAGATTATGTGCAATTTTTTAGAAAACGGAATTAGTACACAAGCGGTTACTTCTATACTACCCCAGCGACAAGTAGTGTAACTTAGATGATCAGCATTAATAACTGATTATTGGCTTACTTCATTTTTTTATACGATCAGGCCGCAAAGATGCATCCACTTTCACAGTTGCATGAGTCCACATGAGATGAAATTCCCTCTGGTATTCGTATGGCAAAAAGACTTCGACGGAGGTACAATTATTTCCTCCTTCCAATTGCACATATATTTTTGCTCTCTTGGAATTAGGACACTCCCACTGAGCAGTTATAGACCAACATGTATGAATGTATGGCAATTAATCCGCGTTTCAGCTAAGACAGTTAACTTAACATATTCAGAGAGGGACACAACCTAAAATTGCTTGACCAATGTCTTAAAAACCAAGAGCCAGTAATTGTTAAGACAACGTTAGTTAGACTTATAGTGCATAGCGGATATGTCGCTGAATAAGCTATCCTGAATATTTGGATAACGGTGCTACTGATTTTGTTTGGATGGTTTGCCGGTATTTTAAGTAATCCGATCAAACGCAAGTTTGTTATCGTGCCACCTATTTATGTAAGAACACACACTTCACTATTAATCGAACTGGAGAAGGCATGAAAGTAACAAGAGAAAATTGGTTCGCGTATGGAGCTAACACTAGTC